TTTTTACAGCTTCAACTGTGGGGTGATCTTGCTTTCGTTTGACGGTGCTTAGCAACCTCTAGAATCCCCATAGAACAAGTCCTGAGTAAAAATGCTGCTTCCCGGATGGATGAGAGTTGGAAGCAAATTCATTGGCCAATTTATTCTCATTTATGTGGTTAAATTTGACCTTTTTTTTTTTTTTTATTCGGACTGTGCTACTAGTCCAATTACAAACGTGTCCATGCAAACACAGCTACTTAGTCTCATTTTGAACAAAACAGACCAATATTTAAATAATTTAATAGGACAATACTGACCAATTTTTAAACATCAGTGTTAAATTTACAGTGTAAAATGGTGTTGCCCAGTTTTAGAAATTGAGTACATTTTAATCTACAAGTGTACAATTACATCTATAAAAAATAATTTCAGTGTTACACTTTCAACTCAATTCATAGTTTTCAATCACATGACCCGGCGGGCAAAACATCCATAGAACTGCAGCATAAGCCTGTCAATTTTCTATCTGTTCCAATACAAAAATATTTAGATCACCTCTCAAAAGAATAAAACAAAGATATGTGAACAAAATGCAAGTTTTGGCCATTAGCAATCCATATAAAATACCCATCGCAATATTTCAAATCACTAAAAACAGCAGTACATTCTAAAATGTCTTACTACTCACTGTCTTACTACATTACTACTTAATGAAAACCTCATAAAAATAACTGGCTGTCAGTGGAGGAAAGCCTTGTTTTACATTTAGTCATTTAGCAGACGCTTTTATCCAAAGTGACTTACAAATGAGGACAATAAAAGCAGTCAAAACTAACAAAAGAGCAAAAATATATAAGTGCAAATGACAAGTCTCGGTTAGCCTGACGCAGTACATGTAGCAAGGTGTATATATATATATATATACACTGAACAAAATTATAAACGTTTTTTACATTAAAACGTTTTTGCCCCCATTTTTCATGAGCTGAACTCAAAGATCGAAGACGTTGTTGTTTTTTTTAAATAAAAAAAAAAAAAGATAAATATAAAGTAGAATTAAAATAGAATAGAAAGTGCTAGAGTTACAGGGTCAAATAAAGGTGGAACAGATGCGTTTTTAGTCATTTCTTGAAGATGGCTAAGGACTCAGCTGCTCGGATCCATTATGTTTTGCCCTCCATGTGGGGTTCCTGTAATAGTGTGACGTCACGTGAAAACTATCAATAGGCAGTGTATTTCCCACAGACCTCTGCAGCACTTTTCAGTATGGAAATCAACCAAGAAACATACCTTTGGTACATTTATACATTTTTTTTTTTTATTAACTGTGTGATAGAAAAGAGAAGATTTGAACTAGGGCTGTCAATACATTAAAATGGTTATTTCTTAAATAATCACACACTTATAAAATAAAGCACACACCATTTTTCTTGTTTAGCATCTAGCAAAGTAAACCATCAGATTCAAGGGTGATTCTCACAAAACTCTATTTTCTGTAGGCTTTTTTCAATGTAAATTTTCCAAAAAAGGACACTTGGAGACTGCAAAAGGACACCAAATAACCAAATGATATAGGTGTTCATATAATTCATAAATTATATGAACACCTATATTATTTGTCTGTGCATAAATACAATGTGCGATCAGAGCATCGAGAGTGCATATTTGCGCATCAATATAACGGACTCACACGTGCTTACCGTACGACTCCTGTACGTCACATCTTTATCCATCAAAACTTTACTAGCAAGATGCTGGTTTGCTTTATCCAGCCGAGAAACATAGTATGCTTATCATCTGGCCATACAGAGGTGGGATGCTTTGACGTTCCGTTCAGTCTGTATTTGCTTAATGGTTCACTGAAAACTTTCCCAGAGTTTAGTGGCTTAAAATGATCTGATCACAAACAGAAAAGCAAAAACAGCTTAAAGGGCAGAATAGAATATTTATGCCTACCAGGGTTACAGGCAGTGCTCGAAGTGGGAAAAAAAATTGCCAGTATTCTCTTGTGCGATATTTTTAATAATATGCATAAAATATAACATAGGCCTAACATTATAATATAATATCATATAATAAATATAATATAATATATAATACAATAAACAGATGGAAAATGGAAAATATCTAAATAAATAAGTATAAAAATAATTGATGATATTTTCAGATTGCTTATTAGTACCACTGGATTTGCTGCTCACAGACAGTAATGCTGGTGCTTTGACTCCGAGTAGTAAAGTTCTGGCAACATATGAGAAGTGCCGGTGTGCAAGAAAAAGCGGCGTTACACTAAAGATTAAAATTGAGAAGTGTCAGTAAGCTACTAAATACCGGCTCACTTCGAGCACTGGTTACAGGTGCTTGGGCCATTGTAGATACTCAGTGTGATAAACTCCCGACTTCCAAGATCATCCACTGTAACTTTACGTTAAATTATTTTAAAGCATTAGGGATTTTGAATTCAATCGCATGCGTCAATGCTGACAGCCCTAATATGCATGCTTGGCAAATAGTTTCCTGAGCCAGTTCATGTGAGCACCACGTTTATCTCTGGTAAGCATATATGAAATGTACGTAGACTGGCTTCAAATATCAAATGATATGTAGATATATAATTATATTTTTGATAGATTATATCATGTACATTTGTTATTGCTATATTAGAGATGTATTAGAGAGTATGTGGCACACTGCAAATGAATGCAAAAGATTGTTAGAATACTCTAATCAATGTTAATAGCACATCATTGTATTTTTTTTCTGGTCTTTTTTAAACAGTGGCCATTTAAAGGCATTGTTCACAAAGAAAGCATACTTAAAGTTTTAAGTTAAATGTTTTAATCATCTCAAATCTAAAGAAAGTGTACTCTAAATTAACGGAATTCTGCAGCAGACTTTCCATACAGTAACTGTATTGCATCACAGAATAAATCCTAAGGAAATAATGTGGAGCATATTACTTTAACCTAAAAACATGTCAAAAGGTTAGTTGAAATGTGAGGGTTTGTTTTCATATTTCACTCTCCAGTTACACAATGCACTTCAGAATCAGAACAAGAAGGCCTTTATTGCCAAGTGTTTACACACACAAGGAATTTGTCTTGGTGACAAGAGCTTCCAGTGCAAAGAAGCACTGGAAGCTTATACTTGTCACGAATCCGGTCCATGGACTTCCGTTCAATCGCCACCAGAGGTCATTCTTCCGTTACATTGACTCTCACACTACACAAACTGTTGCATGTCATCCCGGACTACATATCCCATCATCCATTGCACTGATTGCACACAGCTGTAACCAATCTCACACTCACTATATTACACCCACTCAGATCCTTTTCAAACTGCCGAGTATTGTTTAGCGTGTATCACTGCTATAGCTGATAGCTACCTTACGGAGCCTGCTTAGTTTTCCTAGCCTTATCGGTTTTCTCGTGTTCTGATCTTTGCCTTGTACCTGGATTATTCCTCTAGTCTCGCCCTGTTGGATTACGTTCGCCGTCGACTGACCCTCGCTTGTTTACTGGACTGATCTTGTTTTGTCTTCTATATACCTGTTTGCCATTGCCTGACCCTCGCCTGTTTTGACCACGCCCTTAATAAAGCTTGCAAATGGATCCGTACGTCTCACGTCTTGTTTGCCCCGTAACAGAATACTCGGCCTCACAAGGATCCAGCAGCTTTTCATGTGGACAATGGCCAGGTATGGACACTGCAAAACTTTTTATCAAAGCAGGGCATACGCCCGCTTGAAGGCTATATTCAAGAGTATCTGGACATTGCGTGTTATTCTGATCTGCCAGATTGTGTACTGATAGACTTTGAAACCTTTGCAAATCATTTGTTTTGAACCATTGGTTTAAGGTGCATATTAAACTGGCGCAGTCACGCAATTTCAGTAAACACGGCTTTTATACGTTACAACGGTTTCAAAATGTTTCGAAATTTCAATTGGAGGCCGATCTCAGTCAGTTATTCACATTTTTATATTATGAAAGGATTATAGAACATGAATTTTTTACTATAGCAATTTCAATAGTATTTTAGAAGAAAAGGCAGGTGGACCATGATTTTGGCTGAATATAAATTACTTTTTTGTTCATGTTGTTGTTCATTCTTTTTTGCAGGATGGGACAGCGACATGTCCTGTATTTACCTTTTGCCACCTTCAGTTGTTTGGTCGGACCAAATCCACCAAGATAAGAAGCAGGGAGACAATAGATTATGGGCCAGATTTACTAACAGCTTGCGCCAGTGCAAACCCAGGATTTACTGAAGACGTGCAGTGAAAAGTTAGCGCTGAAAAGTCGTGGACACGGTCATTTATGCGGTATATGCATTTGTAGGAGTTTCCCTTTCAGATGTAAAATTTATGAGAGGAGAGAATATAAATTTAACCACGCAACATGATTTACTAAGGTTTGCAGTAGTGTTGGGCAATATGCTCCATAGTCATATCGTCAGCCTGTGAGATCGCCGATACACAATATTATCATGCTAATTTATTCAATTATTTACTTTCTTAGTTTCAGAGCCGGAGAGTGAACCAACTCCAGGGTAAGACTAAAAGCATCCTAATGTTAGTGTAATCTATTAACTACACATTATATCTTTTTAGTCAAGTAGCATATGGATGTTATGTCATAAAATTAAAAATTTTATATGAATGAATTTGTATTTAACATAAAAAAAAATTGTAAGTTACTAATTATAATGCTCATATTTCCTCAGTTATTCAAACAACAGCTACAGAAAACAAACAAAGAACATCATCACTGACTTCACAAGAATTTATGCACTTAAAAAAAACAAAAAAAAAAAACACTTTATAATCAGTGAAGCTATCTACACTGTATGATGAATAATTCTCTAATACTTACATCGCACGTGTAATGGGGTCAAAAAGGTGTTTCCACTTGCTACACTCATTTTCATGTATGGTCCCTTTTAATTGCACTCTACCTGCACACTCCACCCAGAAAATGAACCAGTTCCGGTAGGGTCATTTAGATTTGCGCCAGCCGAGAGAGTGACTGGCTGCGGTGAGTGAGTGCTCTATGATAAAAGTATATTGTATTAATTGTATAACCATCTTATGGATTAAAATTTATATATACGTGTTTAAATGAATATTGTATGATTTGTGTTCATGCTACATTATATTTGTGGTAACATCAAGTTTGTTCACCTTATTACAGAACATGCACGAGGGTGATTTGCAAATCTGATCACCGCTGTTTAATATGTTGTCAACAGGTACATATTTCTCAATTGTGTTGTTGTATAACTGTTTATATAAATGTTAGTATTTTAGATTCACGCCAGCCGAGAGAGTGACTGGCTGCGAACATGCACGAGGGTGATTTGTGAATCTGATCACCGCTGTTTAATATGTTGTCAACAGAATAAAAGTCTGTCTTCAAGCGCGAATTGGTATCCATCCTGAGTTTTACACAACACAACGCAGAGACAACCCGTTACACGAGCATATCAAGGAAAAACTGCTGGCTGAATTTATGGTGCATTAAGCTGGCACTGTCTCACAGAACTTTTGTTAAACCCACCTACATTCTATTTAAAGGTTTAATTGGCAAATCATCCAAAAAGGTTGCAGGTTCCTTTCCATATTCATAAAATATATGTTCTTTATCACCTGCAAAGAACCCTCTTCATATCATGAACTATTTTCTGTCATTCTTGAGTGTTTTATTTTTGGGGGTAGCTTAAAGTCAACATGAAATTCAAACCGACTCCATTTACTCTCTTAATGCACATTCCTGGTCTTATTGTGAATGATTAATTGGTGCATGTTATTAAAAAGAAAAGTTTGTCTTTGTAATCCTTCTTCAAAATGTAATAACTTGCTCAACCTCTGAAATGAACCTGTGTCAAAAAAGCTATTTAGAAATTCTTTAAGGCTGCCATTTGGAAATGCTGCCTTAAAAAAAAATACCTACAGTTAACAATAATTCAGTGCAAGTTAACATTAATTCAAATGACAACAGACCATTATTTTAGTATTGTTGAATATAGTATATATATATACATATTTCTGCCATGACAGCACATGACCATGTTAATGTATTTGGTCTTGGCAGAATAGATCTGCTACGCTGCTGCTGCGGCAGAGCAAGTACCGAGACTTACTGCTGTGAGCATGTAAGAAATATTGCTTCTGCAAATATAACATACATGGAATAACCCCCATATAGCATACATGAATCACCTCATAGCAGATCTATACAGGTGGAGCTGGGGAAGGTGGAGGGTTTCTGAAGCAAGCTGCAACTGCTACAGCAAGCACTAGTCATATATTTGAATGTTGAGCAGCAAGCTCATTGGCTACCGATACAGGAGAGAACCAATCAGCTCTGCCATGTGATAATGATGTCATTAGGTCAGATTGAGTTAGACCTATCGGACTGCGCCATCTAGAGTTTCATGCCAGAACTCTGTATTTTGACTGGCTGCGGTGAGTGAGTGCTCCGTGATAAAAGTATATTGTATTAATTGTATAACCATCTTATGGACTAATATTGATAAATACGTGTGTTTAAATGAATACTGTATGATTTGTGTTCATGCTACATTATATTTGTGGTAACATCAAGTTTGTTCACCTTATTATAGAGCATGCCACGAGGGTGATTTGCGAATCTGATCACCGCTGTTTAATATGTTGTCAACAGAATAAAAGTCTGTCTTCAAGCGCGAATTGGTATCCATCCTGAGTTTTACACAACTCAACGCAGAGCCAACCCCGTTACACACGTATATCTGCACTTTGTTTATGATGAGAGAATTTGCGAGAGAGCAGAACTCAGTCAGCAAGTGCGCGCACTGAACAACAAAAATTTCAGTCGTGTTTCAGCCACGACTCATCTAAATGCCTTTGGCCACTGCATTCATAACCTCAATGGAATCGTGTGTGATTGGTTATAAATGCGCAACACTGTAAAAAAGCGTAAAAATAAATATGATGGAACAAATAAACCATAATATTAATTAGATAATAATACTAGCCTGATGGTGATAATAATAATCATTGATACACGATACTATCGTCTATCGGCACAACCCTAGTTTGCAGTAGTCAGTTTACTGGTATTTGCGTCATTATTTACTGACCAAAAAAAGCATGTCTTAACCACTTTGCACTTGACATGGCATTATCCTTTTAGCTAACTTATCAGTGTTGCAAAGATCTATAACCTGTAGGCTAGGCTGTCCCCTGTGGCAGACTTTTTAAAATAAAATGCTCAAAAAGCAGTTCAGGAACACGTTGGTCAATGGAGAGTTTTATATACTGCAATACTGTAGGCCTTTTGCCCCATGCTGATAAGCCTTTTACCTCGAGTGTGGGGTAAAATACTCCCTTTGCCATCTCATTTTTATGATTTGTAATCGTGTGTGATTGGTTATAAATGCGCAACACTGTAAAAAAAGCGTAAAAATAAATATGGAACAAATAAACCATAATATTAATTAGATAATAATACTAGCCTGATGGTGATAATAATAATAATAGTCTTGATATCGTCAAAAACATCTGACTATCATTGATACACGATACTATCGTCTATCGGCACAACCCTAGTTTGCAGTAGTCAGTTTACTGGTATTTGCGTCATTATTTACTGACCAAAAAAAGCATGTCTTAACCACTTTGCACTTGACATGGCATTATCCTTTTAGCTAACTTATCAGTGTTGCAAAGATCTATAACCTGTAGGCTAGGCTGTCCCCTGTGGCAGACTTTTTAAAATAAAATGCTCAAAAAGCAGTTCAGGAACACGTTGGTCAATGGAGAGTTTTATATACTGCAATACTGTAGGCCTTTTGCCCCATGCTGATAAGCCTTTTACCTCGAGTGTGGGGTAAAATACTCCCTTTGCCATCTCATTTTTATGATTTGTAGCCCCTAACCCACATTGTACTGCTCATGGGCAATGGCTTTGTTTTATATCAATGAATAAATACATTTTCATATACCATTTAATAGCTGAAAACCTTAAGATATGACCTCTGAACTCTGTTTTTCAATCAATACATTATAGCGAAAACAGCAATTCAAAAAGTGGAAAGAAGCAGGTTTTTGGACAAGAGACATGTTTACATTTTAGCATTTGATCATCTGCGATCAGACCATTTTAAGCCACTAAACTCTGGGAATGTTTTCAGCCCAAGGATCCAGTAAGCGAATGCATTCAAACAGCGAATACATCCAAAACAGCGCTAATGGAGAGAAAGGTGATTTCATAAGAGATGGCAGAGAAAACAGGATTCATTTATTAGGTACGCGAGAGTCCATTATTATTATTGCGCAAGCACACCGTGTCTGTGTGCACTGACAGATAACTTTTTTGCACAAGCACATTTTAATATGCTCCCTAAGTTCAAAATTCATATCTGGCGAGTGTTTTATAATGGATGCTTGCTGGAGAAGCGTGTATTGGAGGAGTTTGTGAGGGTCAGCGGTGCACAGTAGTGGACTTATATGGACTTGTATTTCAGGTGTTCTTTTGGAGTCTTCAAGTGTCCTTTTTGGAAAGACACCTAAATTTACTTTGCAGAAAATATATATTTTTCTTATATTTAACTCACATGTATTTTAAATCTCTCAAATCCTTGTCTTATTTTTTCCCCTTTTTGTTCCTGTACTACTATGAGTAATTCTGACTTTTGGACAATAAACTGTCCAGTGTCTGTTTTCAGACAAAACCAGGATTATGCCTGTAGACCAAAGGAGCTGCAGCCATTTCATTTTGGGTACGTCCTTTTCAGCTTGGGGGGGTACTGGTTAAGCTAGTTAAGGTGCACGTAAATATACCACAATGTCTTTTGAACTTCTAGATACAATTTTGTTTCACAAATCAAGGAAAAATATGAACCGGAGGTTCTCAAGTTGTTTCATGTTTTCATGTAATTTTTCTTCCACCTGATTATTTTGCAGAAATTTCTAGATATCACTTGTTAGTCTTAAGCAAAGTTGAGAGCTTGTTGGTGTTGCTGTGTTGACATGACTTCCATCAACTTCTTGTGCAATTTGGTTAAAAGCACTACAGCCACACACATTCAGATAGGTCACGGATTAATGTAGGCATGACCTCCAGAACCGAAGCACTTTGAATGAAGCACTAAAACCAATACCACTTGTAGTTATGGACTACATATTTATACACGTATATTTAAAAATTAAAACTTTAAACTTAAACTTTAAACAATATCAAATACTACAGAAAAATGAAAATAAGCCTTAAGTTATGTACTCTTCTCTAACCGGAAATGTCGCCCACATTTTAAAACACAGCAGACTTGTTCAAAATATTGTGGATAGCTCAGTAAATTAAATTGAGGCTGTACAGTAGGACAGATTGCATGTTTGTTTCATAGGATAATGCACAGCTAAGGAAAGGAGGTCTTGATAATGTACTTCATCACATTCCATACTTCTCACTTTCTCCCAAAGCTAATGTCTTAAAGACGACATTAATCTGCCTCCCTCTGTCATTAATGCTGCACAGGCTCCTGAGTTAGCCAGATACCCCAGATAGTGACATATCTCACCTTCATCTTATTTGCAAACAAATTATTGCACAAAACTAATTTTCTGTTTATTAATTATTCATTTAATTAAGAAACAGATCACCCAAAAATTAAAAATTGCTGTTAATTTACTCACCTTCAGGCCATAGGTGAAACCACGACCCTTAGTGATTCATAAAATGCAAGTCAATGGCTACCGTCACTTTTAGTGTAAAAAATAAAAAAAACACAACATTGATACCTGCAGCTCCTGACAATATATTGAGGTCTTATGAAGTGAAACGATGAACCAGTTCACCAAATCAGACTGAACCATTTGAAATGGTTTGTGGCTCAAGCCAGCACAAATCTACAAGTTATTTAATCAAAACTCACTTTCGGATGTATCCAACAGTCACTCTGACTTGAAATGAGCCAATATACCGGCATATTTGATACTATGATGCTGGTTTTTGCCAACTCATTCAGTGCTACATTCAGCAATACACTGAACTGAGGACCAAAGAACTGATGAGCTGCTGATATGAGCATGTGTAAAATGACCACTTGAATGAAGGGGCGGAATGAAAGTTTGTATGGTTTCTCACGATTTATGTAAAAATGACTGATCAAGACTAGTTTGATCATTTTATACGTGCTAGACATGTAAAACATCCATATTTCAAATCATAATTGGGTGCTTTACTAATATAATTGCATATACATTACGAAAAAAAAATTACCTACAAATTGGATGGCCTAAGGGTGAGTAAATTGACAGCAAATGTTCATTTTGGGCTGAACCATCCCTTTAAATCCTCTTCAAGAGACATTTACATTTTTTTCTCTATTATCTAAATTAGGAGGATAAGATTGATTGAATAATTGATAGATAACTGATGTCATATTTTCT